TGACCCCCCCCCCCCTTCCTGTTCATCTGAAAACCTGATTTTCCAGCCTTTAGTGTGATCTCCTGTTTCCTACTTGCCCACTACATAAATCTTGAAGATCTCATTCAGGACGTTTGCCAGGGATCATAAAAAGTTTCAAGAACCCAGAGGAAGAACTGGGCCAGAGCAGAAGGAAGACATCATGGAACATTGTGGCTGACTGAACCGGTTCTTCCTTCAGTGGTGGAACAATATGATTGTAATTCACTTTAGCAAAGAAGTTGAGAGATTAAAATAATTTTGCTTTATATAATAATTGTTATATCTGTTATGTGTTCTAGGGAGGCAGAACTTGCTATCCGAGAATTGAACAGTGCACCACCATTTTACTTCAAAGTACAGTTTGCCTATAGCATAAATGACAAAGAACGCATTCGTAGAGAAAGAGAAGATGAGGAGATGCTGAGAAGAGTTTTGGATTCAGAACCATATCCAGTCTATTCTGAAAGATCATTTGTTCCCTTCAACAGGTAATCACAATAGGTAGAAAAACATTGTAATAGAGGATATTCCGTGTAATCTTCCATGACAGCCTGCCACAGCATTACTGAGTACTGGGAAATGAGTTAGTCGTAACGGAAAAATAGGAATTGTGTGGTAGTAGGTTGGTTCCAGATTAAGTGATGTTAATCCTTGTTTTGGCACCATGTGAACTGGTCAGTAGATGTCATTTCCAGTCCATGTGGCACCAAAACCCAGAAGATTACCATTATCTTCATAAACAGTATGTTATGAAAAGGTTCCATTTATTCCCATCAACAGGTAATCAAAATGTGCATTCTCATGATTAGCTGAATATCTGCCTGTTGATAAAACACTGCAGTGCACTGTGTATAATGCTTAACCCATTGCCGGACATAGCGCTGTAGAACGTTCAGCCATTTAAATTGCCACGTTGGCCTGAACGCTGTGTAACACTCTCCATGGCAAAATGCATTTTGATGTTATCTAATGACTGAAGATTTGAGTTCTCTTGAATGTGGCTGCTGTTGTTGCATTTTCAAAGCATTGTGCCTGTGTAGGATGCATTGTGCCTGTGTAGGCAATAATTATTTAATAAATAATAACATTGGCATCATAGCATCTTTGTTCTTGATTTAGCTTAGCCCATCTGAGTTGTTATTTCAGTGTTGAGATCAAGATCTAAATCCCTTTCTGACGTTTCTTCTATTTTATATGACAGTGCAATTGGGTGTATTACTTGTTCAGTCAGACAAGAGCTGTGAGATGCACGTGAGGGAGGGTAAGGACGCTGTCTGCTAGTGGTAGTGGGACACGTAGGGGAACTGTTCTCTGTACTACTAAACACAAAAACATAAATACAGGTTGAATTACCTTCATTGGCTGATGAATGTTTAACAAATCTTCTGTTCCACTTAATTCCCCATCATCTTCTGCAACTTCTTCCTCCCCCTCCTCTTTCTCACAACTGCTGTTATCACTGTTGTTTTATAAGTTAACTATAATTTGTTCTGAAAGCAAAAAAATAGACTTGCAGTGGGACACGACTTTATTTGAGGACGTAGAACCTTTCGAGAATGTACAAGGTCCAACCCATAATCTTCTCGATGTGATGAAAATTAATGTTTCAAATTATTTGTAGACAGATCCTTTTTGAGATGGTAGCATATGAAACAAACAAATATGCTGCTTTATCACAAGGGAAATGATTCCAACAGGGAAGAAACAAATGCAGAAGAGATTGAAGCTTATATTGGAATCTTGATATATATATACATACATATGGGAATCATCGATCTTCCACATGGATATTTCAATTGGAAAATGTACCTTTGTTTTTTTCATACTGTGTTCAAAGTAATTAGAATATCATGTGATAAATGTACAGCAGTGATTTTCTTATGAATATGAATACAGACAAAGCAAATTCATCTCAAATGGATAATACTCATGCAAGAGGATGGGTGGTATAAAACATGATAAATGTGTGGTGTTTTCTAGTGTCATCTTGGCACTGCAAAACAGTTATTCTCTAGGCCACTACCCACTCTAGAAACATGTTACAGTACTACTACTATTACTACTACTACTACCACCACCACTACTACTACCATCACCACTACTATTACTACTGCTACTACAAAAAAAGCATATTGCCATATGTGAGGTCGCACAGTGTGATAAAACAAAAAACATGATGCAATGAAACAACTGAACTACCCAGCCTAAAGAAGTATTCATGGTAATAGTAATAAAAACATTTGCCCTGTTCATAAAACCTAAATTATAAGACAACCCCCATTTTCTAGAAAATTAATTAGGACAAACTTTTAATCTTATATTTCGGTAAATATGATATGTAGACTTAATTTCTGACTTGTGTTTTGGGTTGTAAGGTATTTACTCTACATTACATTTTAATCTAGAGTAATTACACATTAAAGGGAAACCTGTGTGAAACAGAAAATGTTGAGGTTTCTTAGGATTCTGTTATAAGCAGCAGTACAATATGTATTTTCAGGGGTGTTGGACGAGGTCGTGGAATTCCATTGCCACGACAGATGATAGCTGGATGCCGCCCAGGATTTGATCAACTAATTTTCTCTAATAATGACTTTGCAAATGGAGAGAACGCTGAAGAAGATATGGGTTACTTCTCACCCTATGTGCCTGGAACGTTTGATGAAACAAACAGGTATTAAGTGCTGTTTATAAAGGAGGGCTCAGTATTTCCTCTTCTCATACCTGCCCCTAATTTTTATTCTTTAAACATACCCCTCACCTATATGATCTGAAGTTAATAAATAGTATAACTAAATCTCTGGTATTAAAATATTATTGTTTGATACTTGGTCAGTATAGTGACTGGATGACCGGGGTTCGATCCCTGACCGCAGAGGATTTTTCCTCTAGCCTCTGCCTCCAGACTGGCTCTGGAATCGTGAGCTATTTCTATCCACATCACAACCTGTTTCCCTGTTACCTACTGTAATGATATTCTTCCTTCTGCTTCTACATAAAGTGGAAGTAGATCCATATTTACTGTGAACTGATTTTGCTTTGGTGTAACATATACAGTGAAACCTCTATCCATCGTTCCCGGATGCATCGTCCGTTTTGTTCGGTCCCGAATACATCCCATATAAAATAATGTTACATTTTCCCGCTTCTATCGTTCCTCGAACTATCGTTTTATCGCATCGATCCTTAAAAAATCTTAGTCCCAGCACACAATTTTCCCGCAATGATCGTTTCTGAGAAATTAAAATGCTGGGTTTTGAGATAAATTA